GCACAGCTGCTTTGGGGACCAAGGGTTAGCGGCCCTCACGTATATAACGGGGCCAAGCAGCAGGGCTGGGCTGCAGGCTGCCTGCCGCTCACCCAGCAGGGCTGACCCGGCCCCGGACAGCAGCGCTCGGGAGGCAGGAGCTGCAAGGGCTGCCACTCCCCCGCCCCGACAGGGCAGCGCACACCTGGGCACAGATAAAGCAGCTCCCAAAACACAGCAGCTCCCCTCTGTGAGCGCAGCCCGCAGCAGGACACGYGSCCTGCTCTCCTATCAGCACCRACCTGCTGCTACTCGGGCTCTGCAGCGGGGACGTCGCGCAGTGTTGGGAGCCAGCCAGGCTCAGAGCCCTTCTCTGCAACAGCTCCTCCAGGATGGCCACCTCCGGACAAGTGGTGTCTCTGACCTCAGCAGAGACAGGTCAGGGAGGTGTTACCACCTGCTCCCCGGGTTCATGTTCAGCCCCCCGGACAGCACSTGGGGAGCGTCACAGGGAGAGGCTGCTCTGGGCAGATGTGTGGGCATGAGGCCACCCCACACACCTCTTTGGGACTCCAACACACCCRTGGAAATGACCTCAGGAARGGGGTTACACAGCAGCCTGAGTGTTTCTTAGCTGATCTACACCTTCATTTCCCAACAGATTGTGGCCACTGGGATCTRTCGCACAGACMACCATCTTATAGGAGGTTTATTTCCTAATACAGAATTCCCCGTTATCCCAGGCCATGAAGGAGCTGGGATTGTGGAGAGTGTTGGAGAAGGGGTGACCCTTGTGAAGCCAGGTAAAAGCAAACACATGCACATACCCTCTCCAAGGGTCTGGCATGCTGAGCAGCCAGTGTGGCCTTGAGTTCAGAAATCCCTGCCTGTAGCAGGGAATGAATTACCAGAGGTTATCAAAATCTACCTCATCTGGCCCTTCTGCACATAGAAGGTACTTTACCCAGCTGTAAAAGTTAACTGTAATTTCCTAATTACTTTCTAAGTTCAAAAAAAAAAAAAACAGAAAATGAGATGACTCCAAGATATTTTTTTCTCATTGAGTTCTATTCTTCCCTATGCAAAAAATACTGGAAGCTCTTCTCACAAACTGTATGTGTTCTAAATCCTGCAAATATGCAGCTTTAATTTTATATTAGTTAGTGGTGTCAGAAAAGTAATCAATTAGTTGGATAACTTTGTTGTAAATATAGACAAAGAAATAGATTTGTGGATCAAATAATCGCACATCACTAAAACTCCTGTCCATTGAAGATACATGCCAAAAGCAGAACCAAACAAAACAAAAAGATCCTTGCAATAAAAAGCAATGCCATGCAGTATTGGATAAGAGCAAAGGTTGTCAAGTAAGGCTACAGCGAAGGCAAAGGATACTCACCTTCTGCGTTTGAACCAAACTTCCTATCCCCCTTATTTTGCCCTGGTGCAGCCTAAGCAGATTCYAACAGCAAGCCAACACATTTCCCTCCTTTTGTCTATTAAAAACGCTATGAAAAGCCTTCAGGGCGTTTTGTACAGAAAAAGGGAAGTCTAATAATGACAAGACATGTCAGATCAGTACTTTGCAGTATCATTCCAGAATCACCCATTTTTTGGATCAAAGTCATTCTAGTCTTTCCCCTGGCCCGTGATAAAGGGATAAAGAACAAGGCTCTAARTATTACTCTGCACTGAAATCTAAACAATAACATGGGCTCTAAGCATAACCATRGTAAAAATGCATTAGCTGCACAGCACCTTTCATCACTGTCACGGGGCTGGAAAGAGAAACCTGCCTCCAGCTTCCACGTGGGTCACTATCCTTTCCACACATGGTGCCACAATAGTAATGTCCCTCTAGCAGAATTTCCTCTATCCTTTCCCCCACCCAACTAATCACTTGTTTCGGGCTTTTCCCCTCCACTTGCATGGCACAGAGAATTAAAAAAATAAATAAAAAGTTGAAAAATCTCCTACCATGTCCGGAGGTTTCTGATAGCACCGGGGACACAGGAGAATGCAAGACAAAACTACAAAGGAAGAGAAAAATGAAAACACATTAATGCCTGAAATTGAATAGTGAGCGTTAAGGAGTTAGGATTTGTGTATTGGTATTTTTGACCCCCAGAATCAGCACTAGCCATTTCTGGAACTTCACAGATATGGCCACTATCAAAGTGGAGCAAYGGTGAAGTTTAGCAAAGGGTGAAAAGTTTGAAGGTCTTTTGGAAGTGCTGAGGAATCAAAGATAAGARCRTGAAAATTACAGGGCAGGCCAGGTAAATGGCCAGAGCCTGCTTGGATTTCAACACTGGGCTTTTCACAGCAGCCTGTGAAAGCATCAAGAAACACAAACAGCCTTTACTATGAGAACATCAGGGGATGGGCAGCCTAGGCACATCCCCTGTTGTTCCAGCAGGCAATGCTATGGAGGACAACACCCCTGCACCTTTGCAGGCAGAAAAATATAAATYTGCCTATAGGCTGACAAGGCTGCGCCCTGAGATGATGACGTGGTGTGGAAAAAGTCACTAAWCCAGCAGCCTTGGAGCGAAACACTGGGGAAAACGGGAGAGGATGCCCACATCCTGGCACCCGACCCGGATGCTAGCACCAAGATCTGCGCSAAGAAAAATGTTGCACCAACAGAGTGTGGAAAAAAACAAAACAAGCAAGCACGCAAAGAAACAAAAKCACAGAGTTAGTGGCTATTTCTCCCACACACCTCCTCCTCGGGCACACGCGGCCCGGCGCGGGCGCGCTGCACCTCTCGCGGTAGCCGCAGTCCCGCCGCCACGGTGAGAAAACGCCCGCAAACGCTCGAGAAACGCCCCGCAGAGCGCGCAGCGGCGGCGCCAGCCCGCAGCGGGGCGCTCTCTAGCCTCGCCGCCAACGGCCGCCAACGGCCGCCAACGGCCGCGGCGCCCCGCCCAGCCCCGCCCGCCGCCAACGGCTGTAACGGTCGCGGCGGGCGCGCGTGCGCCCTGGCGGCTCCTCCCCGCTGGGCGCGTCATGGCGGGCGAGGTGAGCGGCGCGCGGGCGGCGCGGGTGTCCCGGGACGCGGGGCCAGGAGCGAGGGAGAGGCGCGGGGCCCAGCCGCGGGGCCGTCCGCTCCCGCTGGCGGGGCGCTGCTCCTCCCCGTGCTGGGAAAGACCTCCAAGATAGAGCGGGATATCTCGATATTGATGCGTTAAGAGTAACTCGTTGTCCCTTGGCGAGGAGAGCGGTGGGCTGGAAAAGCAGTCGATGATTTAYGGAGTGAGGGCTCCCCGCGTACTTTGTGCCTTGGGTTTGGATTTCCTGGCAGATTTGGTGCATTTCGAGAGTGTAGCCGAGAGCCCTGCTGCGGCTGTGCAGCTGCTTTGCTGCTTTTGGTGCTTTTTTATAACACCTTGGTAATAAAAAGCACATAGAGCAAGCTCATAGTTGCAGGTGAAGGGCACGCCTGCCTGTTTATGGTCCCTGTAGTGCCTTGGCCGTAGGAGTGGGTCTGTTTCTTTTCTGCTTTGGGCCATGGTTAAGAAGCTTCATTTGTTTTTGGAGTTGCGAAGTTGAACTTCTGCGTTTCGGCTGTTTGAGGTGCAGAGAGGGTRTCAGCTCATTCAGGCAAGGCCCAGTACCGTTTACTGTAGCACAAAAGTATGGCAGAAAATCCCAAGCTGCTCCGTTATCTTCCTGTGTGCAGACGCAGGTGATGAATGAGACCTGGCGAGCTCAGCAGGTGGCTCCTGTTTCGCTCATTTCTTCCAGGCAATGATACAGCAGGAAGCTGAATGGCTGCATGGTTGGTTTGAGGAATTTGCACTGAATTCTCTCTCTCATTGTTTCCCTTGGAGCACTGTGGCTTGCTTGGACACACAAACACATTCAAACATTCAAGTCATGGGTCTGGTTTGTGCTTTCTTATTCAGCTTCCTGAAAGCAGGCATAGGGCCATGAAGCTTTTATGTTGAAATTAGTAATTGCACATCTGGGATTCTTTCCAAAAGGATTCTTTACAAAAGCCCCATTTGGTTGAACAAGAAATCTTGTAAATGAACCATGCAACAAGTGTCCTCTTTTTTTTTTTGTTGTTGCTGTTCTGTTTTAGGTTATTAAATGCAAGGCTGCGGTCGCTTGGGAAGCAGGTAAACCCCTCTCGATTGAGGAGGTGGAGGTTGCTCCACCAAAAGCTCATGAAGTTCGTATCAAGGTAATAAAAAGTAATTGTCAATTCATGCATTGTGTTGTGGGAGACTGGGTATTAAAGCTGAGTGTCTTGTTTACCAACCAAATTATTAAAGGCATTAGTTCATTAGTGTCCTGGCTGCCTTTCCAGAGAAGCAAACTGTATATGTTTTTAATTTTTTCTTCATGAAAAATATGTTTAATTTTTATTGATCTCCATCCACACTGTACTCAAGTCATGGCTAGCACTGGGGATCACTTCTAATTACAGGCTAAGTGTCCACTAAATATCTGAGCAAGAAACATCTTTGCTTTTGTGGGAAAGAACACAAAACACTTTGCTTTTGTTGGAGTTCTATAATACAGAAGTCTGTGCTTTTTGTCTTTTTTTTTTTTTTTTTTTTTTTTAACTTGATTCAGACCATGAATTACTGGCTGCTGAATTGTGATTATTCTCTTGATTCTCCAAACCTAAACCACTTATTGATCAGGACTTTTTATTAGTCCTTATCTGCCAAAAAGTCCTTGTCAAGGTGAAACTTACCTTTGTGGAAGAGACTGTGCATGGTGTGCTTAAAATTTAAACTAGGTTTATGCAATACTGTGAGTTGGGTGTGGGTTTTCTGTTAGTATTATCTTTGAGAAGTTTCAGTTACTTTGAATGTGGGACATCTGCTTTAAGGCAGTTTAGAGTGCCAGTCTTCAGTGTTGTCGTCTTTCAGTTTCAGTGTCACAGTTTAGTTGATGGAAGTGAGAAAGGATGTATCCTGACTTTCCTGTTTCAGAGTATGATACACCAAGTAACTTCTGAGCAGTGAGAGTATGTTAGGAGCATTGCAAAAACTGCTTGGGTTGGCAGGCTTGTCTTTCCAGGAGTCCTGAGTTACCAACTGTGGGGAAGTACTTATATCCATGCTGTTATTCCATTCTTTGAGGAATGAAGGTGTCTCATTGCGTGTTTATTTTTAGATAGTTGCCACTGCTGTCTGTCACACTGATGCCTATACTCTGAGCGGTGCTGATCCGGAGGGATGTTTCCCTGTGATCCTGGGTCATGAAGGTGCAGGGATTGTAGAGAGTGTTGGAGAAGGAGTAACAAAAGTAAAGCCAGGTGAGCAAAAATCTTGCAAGTGTTATTTTGTCCTGCATATTTTTTTTCTGCTGTGAGGTACAATGTTTATCTGTCTGATGTGCCATTGATTGAAAGCTTGAAAGATCCCAGCCTTCAAGTTCTTACCCGAAATTGAGTTAATTTAATTATAACGGTACTATTTCAAATGGTACTTGTTACCTGTTGCTTTAATAAAGAGTTTAAGAAACGTTAAAGCGTGTTTTCTTCGCTGTTGTTTTTTGGGTGGTTCTGCTCTGCAGTAATGTTCCTGTTCGGGATTGTGAAAATTCTGTTTGGTATGTGCTCAGATATGAGGAGAAATGCATTTTTTCTATTGTAGTCTGTAAACACTGCTGCTTTATTCTGTAAGCAATTTGTAATACACAAACAAGGTTTTAAACAGGCTCACATAAAAGCCAGAAAAATCAAATAACTCTTKTTTTTCTTAATGCGTTGCTTGATTTCATGACTAGCCATGTGTTTTGTTTTGTTTTCCCTAGGAGATACAGTTATACCTCTGTATATCCCCCAGTGTGGAGAATGCAAGTTCTGTAAGAATCCTAAAACTAATCTGTGCCAGAAGATAAGGTTTGTATGATTTTTCATCTTGACATGCAGTGTCACATTTGTTCAACATGTACCAGATTTGGTTGTGTAATGTAATTGATGGGAGTTGCCTTGATGCGTCAAGAGATTTATTCTTTACTGACTTAGAAAGTGCATGAATTAGGGAGCTAGGCAGTACTTTCTGTTCTCCTTAACATGTAGATTATTTGTCTGACCTTTCTTAAAACCGATTTGGCTGTTTTCATGTGTTTGAAGGTGTGAGCTGTTAGCTTGCRTCTACAGCTTTGGAAACACAAACACTCTTACTCCATATTTAATCTGTACTTAAGGGAAATACTTCAGGGAATTTAGCTTGGGGAGCAAACAGCAAATCTGTTTTATGGTGCTGAATTGTATGGGAAGCCCTTTTTGCCTTGAGTCTGCTTCCCAGCTAAATTTCCAGATAGGTGCAATAAGCAATAAAGGTGGTGGAGAAAGGAAGGCTGCTCTGGGTTTGGGAATGATTTACTGTAAATACTGTTTGATAGCTGGTCTAGCTTTGGGGCATTAGGTAGATTTAAGTGGTAGTAAAAATGAACTATGCCCATAGCATSTAATTTGTGCAAAGTTCTAGGTTCATGGGCATGTTTCAGGAATGAAGGTGCACTTGCACAGCGGTACCTCCGTGTGTTTAACAGGTACTGCCTGGTGTAGTAGCTGCTTAGATTCTGACTGTCACCTCCTGTCTTTGCTTGAAGAATCACACAAGGGAAAGGACTCATGCCTGATGGTACCTGCCGATTCACCTGCAAAGGGAAGCAGATTTATCACTTTATGGGCACAAGCACCTTCTCCGAGTACACTGTGGTGGCTGATATCTCAGTGGCCAAGATAGATGCTGGGGCACCCCTGGATAAAGTGTGCCTGCTGGGCTGTGGCATCTCCACTGGCTACGGGGCTGTTGTGAACACTGCTCAGGTAAGGGCTCTGCTTTTCCCTGTGATTAAATGGCCTAGTAATGTTACACTTGAGCCAGAGGACATAGCCAGTCAGCCTAGGGACTGGTTTAGAACAGTAACTGCGAGCTACCAAATTTCTGCTGCTTTATTTGCTTTAACTGCTAAAGTTTAGCTAGGAATTTCTACTCTGTAGAAAACAGAACAGCTTAGCAGAACCTCATGCCTTGTAGAGGAGGTCTGGGCAGTGAAAAGACTTTGCATCCCCTTTTGAAGAGCAGGATAAGACAGAGCTGGTAGGTGAGTGTGCCTGAGGCCAGGGCAGGCTATAGGAGCCAGGTGCATGGTCACTTTGGAGTGTTTGGGAACTTAGGTTTTGGTAGCCTGATCTGTGTGTGGGCAGAATTATGGCTGAGCTGMGCAGTGGCTGGATTTTGCAAGGCTGTTGTGAAAAGCATTGAGTACTAAGTATTTCTTTAACATCTGCTCTGTGTTCAGCTCTGTGCTGAATTACTCCACAGCTAAGCCTCACAAGGTTAGTTCTTCCCCATCTTTAGGCCACAAAAGTCAGGCTTAGCATTTAAAGAACTTTTTGGATTCTTTTGCACAGTTTGCCGTATCTAAGTGGTAAGAATCTTTTAGCCCTATGTATTTGCTCACAATCTTCAATACAGACTTCTTAACCTGTTTCACACTGACAAGGACACACAATCTCAGTGTTGATGATGCTCTTTTCTCACTCTTTCAGGTGGAACGTGGCTCTACCTGTGCTATCTTTGGTTTAGGAGGTGTTGGCCTGGCAGCTATYATGGGCTGTAAAGTAGCAGGTGCATCCCGGATCATTGGCGTTGATATTAATAAGGACAAGTTTGCCAAAGCCAAAGAGTTTGGAGCCACTGAGTGCATTAACCCTCAAGACTTCAAGAAGCCCATTCAGGAAGTGCTGGTTGAGATGACTGATGGGGGAGTCGACTATTCGTTTGAATGCATTGGTAACGTGGGAGTCATGGTGAGTCTTTGCGTAGCTACTACTTGGAACTGCTCTAACTAAATGGGAGAATGAGTTGCTTGTTACACAAAAAATGCCATGTTTTTACTTTTGGTGGGCGAGGGGAACACTAATGCTAAGCTCTGTAAATAAAAAAGCTTAAAAACTAAAACAAGCCAAATACAACCACTCATAATTATATGATGAAAGCAAATGCTGCTTAGATTGAAAATGGCTGCTTATACGTCACAGACTTTTTCCCTTGAACGCGAGTTCTCTTCAGAAATACAGAGAAGAAAAAGTATTGCTAAATGTCAAGGCTTTCAGGAAGAGTGATTTCTTTGGCTACCAGATGGTGTATATAAAAAAAAGTAAAATGAATCTTAAAGCGTGTAAGGAATCTGAACTAATTGAAAACTTAATGTAGTTTTTTGGTGTATTTCCTGTTGCTTAAATGTTGATGGGGTGAATCTAATGGGAGGAGGGGAAGGGGGAGTTTAACCTGCACCAGTACATAACTCTGAGCAGATGTGTGCAGCATGTCTGCGAACACTGGAGATAAATGCTCTGTTTTGCCCCCTCGCCCTGCAAGAGGGCTGCCCTCGAAGCCTGCCACAAAGGCTGGGGAGTCAGTGTCATAGTCGGAGTTGCTGCTTCGGGACAGGAGATCTCCACTCGGCCATTCCAGCTGGTAACGGGGCGCACGTGGAAGGGCACCGCGTTTGGAGGTAACTTTTGTGGTCGTAATACAGACAACTTAAGGTAGCTTAAGTGAGGAAACAACAAATTGCCTTGCTTTTGCTTGTGGAAGAAACTTGTTACTGTCAGGTTAAGAATGCTGTGTTGGCTTCTAAAATCTTACTCGCATATATACCTGTCTATACCAATGTACCACACTCACAGTTTTCAAATGTACAACATAGTCATATGGTATTGAACTGTAAAAGAGCAAGTGTAGAGCATTTGCTTTATTAACAGCTGAACATTTGGGATATGCAGTGAAGGGACCTGACCTCTGGGGAGACTGCAATTGGCACAAAGATGTTTTTGTTGCCACTAGGCAAATTGTGGGGCTCCAAATGAGAGGGGAAAAAAAAAGAAGTATCAACCACTAAAAAGGAAACTTGCTATAAAAGAAGTTTTTTTAAAAAAAAAAAAAAAAAAGTAACAAGTTCATACTTAAGCATGCCTGCTCTAAGACCAGAAGCATGTGGAGACTTGGGAGGTTCAGTAACTGCTGAAGTTCATTGAAGTATCCAAACCTCATGCTCTTAGGCTGCAGTTTTTCCATGCAGAGGGGTGACTGGAAGTGATTTCTGAGGTGAGGGCTGCTGTTTGCTCAATGCTGCAATACCAGTGAGAGGTTAGTGTACTAGTGGCTKTAGCTAACGTGCACTATACTGCCAGGTACTGCCTGTCCTTCCTGCCTTACTGCCCTCCTAGAGCAGCAGGGGCAAACATGTCAGTGATTGCAGCCTTCAGTTTCTCGCACCGTCAATCACATGTGATCTATCACAAATGTATATGTGTGGGTTTTTTTGTKTTTTTTTCTTGGTCTCTCTGTTTTGAAGTGGGAGGAGAGGCGGGGGAAAAAAACAAATGCACACTGTTTTTCAGGCTGGAAGAGTGTAGACAGCGTCCCGAAACTGGTGACTGACTACATGTCCAAAAAGATCAAAGTTGATGAGTTTGTGACTCACAATCTGCCTTTTGACAAAGTTAATGAAGCTTTTGAGCTGATGCATTCAGGAGAGAGGTAATGTTCCTAAGACAAGAGGGTGTAGAACAAATTGTGTGTTGGGGGTTGTCTGTGGGCATAAATGCTTTTGAGGAGGAAAAAGGGAATGAATGATGGCCAAACTTGAATCTGCAGGTTAAAAAACTATGGCCCTAAACAGAAGGGGGGAAACGAACAGTCAGTTTTAGCCTCAGATGTGTTAGACCTTGTCCTGCAGGTATTTCATGTATGGGCTTGTGACAGAGGCGAGCTCACCTAGTGTTCACCTCTTAAATGGGTTTTAATAAGATACTCTTTAATTTGCTGAAAATTCAGAGATTCTTAAGGGAATAGCTAGCAGAACCACAGTAGCTTAGAGTAGCAGCTAGCTTATTAGCAGTCTGTTGATTACTTCTGAAGAGCATGTGTTGAATRAAGGGAAGATTCAGCTGACAGACAAGGTAAGTAGAAAGACTGAGTTACAGAATCTCTTCCTACACATTTGCACTAAATACAGGCAACTCTGCTTATTCATATTTAGCATGCATTAGTCTAGGAACTCATTCTTTTTGTAGTTGACCTCAATTCATACTGATTTTGATCTAGTGTATGTTACTTCCTTAGAAATAGCTGATGCTCTGTTTTATCTGATTATATTTACATACATAGTCCCATTTTAGATGATTTGGGCGACAGCTGTTACATTTGCAGTTCTTACAACTGTAAACACTGCATCAACTATGCAAACTTCACCCAGCAATTGGTCCCTTTCCCAGTTACCAAATTGTACCTTATTTCAGTGCTTTATTTCTAAGCATGTCCTGGGAAACCAATAATGAATGGTAAAATGCTCCAGGCAACAGGAAGAGACGGAAATGCCTCTACCATCAGTTTTCTTATCAAGTTTCTTGGTATGCTTTTGAAAACTGACACTGAAACTTCCATGTTGAGTAAAGCGTAGCAGCAGGCTTCATAGCTTATATTAGGCAAGAATTTTGATTACTGTTTATTATAGGTATAAGCAGAATTTGGTTTTTACAGGTGACGAGAATTAAGCAAAAGTATGCCTTGGCAACAAATGGGAAGGGAGGGGACTAAGGCGGAGAAAATGAACTTGTTACTGCTAACTATATTTTTTCCCCTTCTCCTTTCATTTTAAGCATTCGAAGTGTCCTAAAGCTTTAGAGCCAAGCATGGACCGTCCAGTTGGTCAGCAATGTGGTCACCGTCCATTTTGAATGGAATTTCTGACAGTGTGAAGACTCACAGGGACTAGAAAGACAAAGTATCTTAGGAGAAGTATTGTTAGTAGTAAATAACCTGCTTTTTGACAAAACAATCAAAAACAATCAAAAACAACCACTGAATAATGTTACATAATTAATCCTAATCTTGAAACTCTGTACTCATTCCTTAAATGTAGTGCTTATTTCTCAAGCTACTTATTAAAATACAATTTCTAGTCACAGTGTTTGAATTCCTAAGCAGTAAGTCTCTCATTGCAGAGTATTTCTGGGTTTTTTTGTGGGTTTTTTTGAGTGCTTTTACAGGATGTGCACATGTTATGGAGGAACAGCAGTCTTCTGAGCCAACAGTGAATTTGGTGAGAACTACAGAAACAGAGAATGAGGATACAAGCAGAACAAGAGTCTGCTCTTGAGGTGCACAAAAGAACACCAAAGGGCAGACTGTGACAAAAGGTTTGCTACTTAAGTGTCATAATTTGAGATTGTAGTGGTTCTTTGTTTTTCTTTTCTAAGCCTCTGAGGTTTGTCACTATTTCCTTATTGTAGTTGAAGTGACCCTACTAATGGAGATTTCTTAGAACTGAAACATGGAAGCAGAACAGCAAGCCCCCAAAAAGAGAAGGGCGGAAAGCAGACTGAAGCAGAGCCAGAAAGGCTCCTGAGTTAAGAGCAGTAAGAAATATATGCAAGTCTGTGCGTTTGTGTGTGTGTGCACCATGGCCATGGATCAAAAGGTTCTGTGTTTCAAACTAATATGATCATGCAAAAGCAACTGTTACAGGTTGCTGTCTGAATCTAAACACTAATTTGTTATTGCTGAGAGGCGATTTCTTACACTCGTCATCTTACTCTGTGATGCTGCTATAGAGCTGGGACAGCTTAGGTATGCAATCTACCATTAGAAACATATCCTTACAGCCTTCTCAAAATAGATGAAGATTGTCTGGCATGAAATGATAAATACAGAATAAACAAAAAAATTCAGATCATGCGCATGTCCTAAGAAGTCAGTTTTGAACATCCAAAAGAAATACAAACTGAATTTGTACCTGGGAAGTGAGCCATCTGAAACAGCGAGGAAATGATTCTCAGCACCTGGTAGCTCCTGAAACTCTGGTTGAACATTACTGTTCAGAGAAAATGGCTCAAAAACCAGTTGCAGCTACAGCCCCCTGTAACTGTAGAATCAATAATATGTTAGTAGGTTTGAGCTCAACATCTCAGCAAAACTGTGCTTCAGTTGAATTTAACAGAACTCAGGTGTTCTACACTGTACCAATTGGGTTTCTAGGTTGTACACACTGAATCAAGATTGTGCAACCCTGCTGTCTTTTTTATATTACTGCCCTAGTGCGTCTACAACTTGGTATTGGAGGAAAGCTAATGTGCAATCCCAGGATACATCAGTAGCAATGGATAAAAAAAAAAATCAGCTAAAGATATTGAGTAACTCAGCTGAAGGACTTGCAGCTTCTTCCCAGCCTGAAGAAGTGATATCCTTGRCACTGCGCAGCAAGTTGTCAGTCCACTCCGTCCTGTAAAGCAACTGATTAAATGCAGCATCTTAGAAGTATCTTTGAAGATACTCGGCCAACAGAGGGGTGCACTAGCACAAGGGTTCTTCCTTACAACCTGTTCTTAGTGTTACAATACTGTTTTAAACTACACTTGCCCTTTCTAAGAAGTTCAAGGAACGTAAAATGTTTCCAACAACTGCCAGTACAGTATATTAAATAACTTTGCTGGTTGTCTTATAAAATACAACAGCAGCACCAAAATTGCACTTTGCCCCTCCTCAGTACAGCTTTTTTTTTTTTTTTTTTTTTTTTTTTTTTTTT